GTTGGCCTTTAGAGACCCTTGAAAGATATTAGTATAGATGGGTCCCTATAAAACCAATAAGAGAAAATATTGAAGGAACCCAAAGGCCTACACAGTTATATACAAGCTTGCGTGGCAGACCTGTGTTTCTCCTTGGCTGCTGACTGTGCTCGTTGACCTGCACAAGGCAAAGGTCTCGGGTTTACTGTAGTCTCCTTGGACCTATAATCAAAATGATGTTCTGAATAATTCCTTAGGGATATACTACAACAAAAATGAAGATAATTCCTAAGGAGACTACAGTTTAGGGTTCAGGACAGCAGTCAACTCTGGACCCAAACAGATCATTCAGGAAGTTTGGACCCTAAACCCTAAGCCCTAAACCTTGAAGTCAGCGGTTTTATGGGGCAATCCAGCGCTTCCGAGATTCAGGTCTAAATGACAGCCCCGGCGCCTGCAGGAACATGGTCTTGTAGACGCTGGCCTGGGGCGAGGTTGCTGCAAAGGCTACTATTTCGGGTTTAAGGTTTAAGGTGGATATATAGGGGTTATATAGGGATAGTGGAAAAGAACATGGAAACTACTGTTTAGGGTTTGGGGGTTTAGGGTTTAGGACTTAGGGTGTAGAGCTCAGGGTTTTGGGTTTAGGCTCAGGGTTTAAGGTTTTACTGATAGGAGCCTCAATAATGTGGATGATTGGGAGCCACATGGAAAATAACATGGAAATTAAACGGATGCTGGGATTATGTAGGGTGTTCTTGTTGGATTTTCCTTATAGCCCTGCTTAAGCCACAACACCCGATACTATCCCCTACATATACACATATCCCTATGTATCCGCTTTGGGGGTCCCCCTATGCAGGGAAACTACCACATATATGTACATGAAGCTGAACCCTCAACCCTAAAACCCCAAAGCCGAAAGCCTGAAACCCTAAAGCCTTAACCTTGAACCCTAAACCCTGTACCTTGAACCCTAAACCCTGTACCCTGAACCCCAAACCATACAACGGATGCTTTGCGAAGCATGCCTGGCCTGGGCATTGCCCGTCTTCTCGGCCAAGACCTCCTCAGCCTTCTTGAGAGCCTGAAAAAACAAGGTATTATCCCTTAGGAGGACCCCCCACCCTGTAATAGCGGTATAATAAGAATATAAGAGGACCCTAATATGATCCCTATTATCCCTTATAGTGACTATTACTGGGTGGGGAGTCCACCTAAATTATCCCCCTTATTGGGGCATAGTATAGTGTTTAGGGTTTAGGGTACTATAATGCAAAGTCAAATGGAAAATGCAATCGAAAATGACATGGACTCCCTAGGTCCCTTTAAAGGGGTATATAGAGGTACAACCCCAATAACGGAGCATCAAATGGACAAGAACATGGAAAATGAAATGGAAACTGGGGTAATATAGGGATTCAAGAAACTTAATTTGAGTTATGTCTATGTGGCTTAGGGAACTACTATACTATGTTGGGGTTATATATACGGATAATGGAAAAGAAAACGGAAACTACTACTTAGGTATAGGGTTTAGGGCGTATATACAGGTTAGATTTTCGGGTCTAGGATTTAGGGTTTGGGGGTATGACCCCAACAGTAAAGACATGCAATTGGGAGTGGGATTCTATGGTGATTAAAGGAGAATAGGCTCTGAACAAAATAGGGGTCTCTCTTTTTTGGGGGGCCCTAGAATAAGGATTATCGTGTATCGGGGTCAATGTTGAGGCATCCGTTAATGGAATGCCATATGACTTCTACTACACGTTTACGATTTCTACCCCTTGCCTTGCAAAGCCCAACATGCTCCAACATGCTCCATTTATCAACCCTAAACCCTGAACCTATCACACGACCCCGTCCCAGGAGCATGTGTGCCGGATGGATTTTCAAGCACATGTCTGGATGCTTCAAACCACAAATACGGAGGACAAATGACACATTTAAGAAAAATTGTTAAACCCTAAGCCCTGAACCCTTCAACGCGCTAAGGGCCAGAAAAGGCCTCTCCTACCCAAGCTCAGTTCGGAGCCGGCGAATGGGTTACAGTACAGGGTTCATGATTGGCTCTATCATGGGGATTACATGCATAATCATGCGATTCCTTTCCCATTCAACGAAGTTAATCAAACACGCAATACTATGGTGGTTTTGGATTGTCTTCCCATTCTCAGCTATTCCTCCATAAAATCCTTGACGGGACCCCATAATTTGAACATAATCCCAGTAGATCCCTAAGGTGCCATGGGGCCTCCTCGTGAGAATGCCTCAGCCCTAACCTTACACCCTAAACGCTCTACCCTATGTAAACACTAAAGCTTCAGCTCTAGCCTAAAATCCCCAGCCCTAAGCCCTAAAAATTGAGCCCTGAACTCTAAAAATTGAACCCTAAACTCTAAACATTGAACCCTAAACCCTAAGAAATGAACCATAAACTTTAGGGTTCAGGGTTTAGGGTTAGGAAGCTTTTCTGAACTGCTGGCCTCGAGCTCCTCCGCACGGCTGGCTTTGGACTCCTGAAAGGGCCAAGTGCTTACCCTCCCGGAAACTAACATGGAAACCCAAAAGGGGCCCTATAAAGACTACAGTCCTTTTAAAAAGGGGCTATATGGGTTTCCATGTTAGTTTTGGGGAGTGTATGGAGTAAGACTACTTGGAGGGTCAGGGGGACTTAGTAAGTAGGCTAGTAGCCCCTATACTTAGAACCCGATAGTAACCCCAGTTATCCCGAATATTAGCCTACTTACACGTCCCCCTGACCCTCCAAGTAGTAATGGTAATGGTAATTGCATAGTATTACTCGTGCTACTGTGGATGTAGAATTCGCAGTAATGGTAAGTAATAGTAGTCGTAAGCCCTGAACCCTAGCCCCTAGACCCTGAACCCCAAATAGTAAGATTTCAGGACGAACATCTAAGGGTTTAGGGCTTTAAGATTTCGAGGTTTCGGGTTTATGGGAAGCTTCGCGAGTGCACAGTTAGAACAAGCTTGCATTGGAAAGAAGATGCAACGCAAAATCACACCGACTTACGCCCCTCAAGAGGAGGGAAGTCTTCCCAGACATCAATCAAAGGAAAATCCGACACGCAGGGGTAGATAAGGTCTGTCACAAACAGGTCGACATCACGGAGGACACGTAGCCACTTACTTGCACCCTGACCATTCAATTTCAACCGGGACATATGCGCGCACCCAACTGCCAATTTAGGTTGTCTGCTATGGTCGCTATTTTGTGCCTGTAATCCATCCCCTGTCAAAGAAGCCTCGTCTCTCAAAACGGGTATTGGCATTGTTCTACGTATTCTAGTGCTACGCTAAAGTCACTAAAGAGGAAAGAGCCAGTGTCAAGAAATTCCATACTAGATAATGAATAGACATGGTCGCGACTCTCAAGAACCTGTCTCTCAACATGCGGGCGGGGGGGGGGGATAGCCAAACCCATTAACAAACATGAGTTCAGAACTTCCAGGGTATGCCACTGCCAAAGCAGTCTTACTTGCACTTATTTGTTCGGATGCCTCACAGAGTGCAACAAGCCAATTCTTTGATAGGTTGCTCCAACCTGTTGCTCAGTTGAGTAGCGTTTTATATAAAATGCTATACCCCAAAAGGAGGATATAATCTTACTCTATACTGGGTACCCTACTCTCCCCAAGTAAAATACTACTCAGTTGAAGGTGAAGGAGCGGGAAAGGAATGATGCTAGCGGTGGTAACGAGCGTCGGTCAAGAAAAGCTACAGTGATCACAACAATGCCAGCAATACTGTCGACCAAAAAACATTGCCTCATTCTTCCGAGTGGAAAAGAACTGCAAGGAGCCTTTGTCAGCATCAGTGAAAGATGGATCACATATCCTGGTTAGGGTTTAGGGGTTTAGGGTTTGAGGATTTAGGGTGCAAATACCTCTGAGGAATATGATTACGATCATCAAAGGCAATCGAACACGAATATTTCAAACACCCACTTGATTTTCAAAACGCTATAGCCCAGGCACTGAACTTGCATAACCGGACAAAATTGGATGTAGATGTCAACCGGAACTTCTCAAACCCATCCAACCGCTATTCTATCCAACCCCATTGAAATCTCATATTTCTCCGGATTATCCTTGACAAGCCCCTGTGTGCAAGATCCGAACACTAAACCGAAAACCCTCAAACTTCAACCCTGAACCCTAAACCCTCAAACCCAAACCCCCTACACCCCAAACCCTTAAACCTTTACACCCTAAACGCTTAAAACATAAACCCTCAAACCCTCAAACCTTTAAACCCTAAACCCCAAAGGCCCAAACCCCAGGCCCTAAGCCCAGGAGGCCTCGAAGTCAGCAGTGGCCTGCGTGCAGCTGGCCTGTTGAAGAAGCATCTTTTCAGCTATGCCCAGAGTCACTATAGGTCTTTTTTAGCGGGTATAGTTTGTTTTTGGGGTTAGGTGTTTTTTGAGTTTAAGGCTTAGGGTTGAAGGCTTTTGGGGGTTTAGGGTTAGGGTGGGGTTAGATGGCCTAAACCCTAAACCCTAAACCCTAAACCCTACGAGGCCTTAGGCGGCCCCAGGCATGTACTGGGATTCTGAGGAGATTCCGGGCCACAACCTTGAAATGCGAAAGGCTTGCTTTGATAAACTCCCATATGAGCTATAGTCTAAACTCCTTAAAGGGGGTTATATAGGGGATTATATAGGGGACTACTATAGGGGTTATTAAGGGGGATACTAGGAGTTTAGACAATGGCTCATATAGGGTTGTATACGCTTTAGCATACTGGTAGGGAGAATCATATAGGGTTTATCAGGAACATTATCCCAATAGTCGCCCAATAGTCTTGAAACGAAAGTGGAAAACTAAATGGACACTAGTTTATCCTGTTGTTTGAAATTCCTGACTGGATAATGTGGAGGTAGATAAGGCGTACTTACGGGCTAGGAATGACTTGAAGTACATAACAGATAGGGATTGATGGTGCTATGTAGAAATCAGCAAGCTCAGGATGTATGAAGGTTGTTTTCAGATGAGCATCTAAAAGCTGTTCTTTACATCACAGAATCCGGCACATCATTTTAAGCAATCCCGCCAATACTGCCAAACACGAATCCTACAAAGACCACGTTTCATCACCATAGCCGCCTCTACAATGGTACTCTCGAGCCAGGGACCCTGGTTTCAGCTTCTGGTTGCAGGCTTTGGGGTTGAGGATTCAGGGTTTGGTGGTTTGCAGTCTATGATCAAGGTAACCATCTTCACCAGGCAGCTCTGCTGCACCGGGGGCACCCTAAACCCTATACCCTAAACCCCAAACCCTATACCCTAAACCCTATACCCGAAACCCTATACCCAAGACCCTTAACCCTATACCCTAAACCGCCAGGGAGCCTCAAGCTTCTGGAGGGATGCCTTGTCGTTGGCCAGGTCCTGTATTGATCACATGCATGGATACATATGAGCTATAGTCTTAACTCCTTTAGGGGGGATTGTATTACATAGTGGAGCAATATAGGGTTTAGGGTTTAGGGTCTACACTCCTTTAAGGGGGGGGTAGATAGTGGATTTCATAGTGGGGTATTATGGGGGGAAGGGGGATACTAGGAGTTTAGACTGTAGCTCATAGCAGAAGGAAGGCGGAGGTTCAGGGCTTTTAGATTTGCGTTTAGGATTACGGCTTTGAGTTTAGACTCCAGGATTGGAGAGTTGAGGGTTCAAGTTTCAGGGTTGACGTGCTTTAGGGTTTAGGGTTTACGGACCAACCACCGAAATACACAAAGGAAGAAGAACGGCAGGCATTGTGGCAGCTCTAACCCTAGCATGCATCAAACATCACGACTTATCTTAGATGTATACCGTATTACATACTATAGCTCACTAGAACATACGATCTGAGACCGGAACCCAAAAACTTGCGAAATCTCTTGAACTGCTGAACACTTGAAAGTACCCGGGCCCAAACTCCACATTAAGCCTTTCTATGCCCAAGAAGTTATGTATTAGCGGGATCAGAAGTCCGTGAAACCTGAGAACATCATACCCCGTAAAATCCCTCGAGCACGATTGCTTCTCTCAAAACTACAGAATC